ACCTGCCACCTCCCACCCTCCCACCCCTACCTCCCACACCCTCCCCACCTACACCTCCCCCCCCGCCTCCAGCTCCCACCACCCAGGTGAGGGACGTGATGGTGGAGGTGGGAAGGTGGGAGGAAGGTGGGAGGAAGGTGGGAGGTGGGAAGGTGGGAGAGTGTGGGGGTGAAGTGGGAAGGTGGGAGGGTGGGAGGTGGAGGTGGCGGTCAGAGGTGGGAAGTGGTTGGGCATAGAGAGGGATGCACAGAGGGCTCTCTTTGCGTGTTGTGTGCTAGGGTTGCGGTCTTCCCCCTGCTTTGCGATGCTTGGATTTTCTGGTAGGCTTTCATTTATAGGGAGTAGAGTATTCTCAAGTGGTACTCTAAGGTGCAATGATCCCCAGAAGCACGTAGGATGTGGTTTCACGCTCAGTACCTCTGAATTTCCTCGGCGTAGCTCAATTCAAGCGTCATGGTCACAAGATACCTCCTTTAATGATTGATCCTCCTTTAATGTGTGGCGGTTGCTGCCTGCAGAGTATCAGGCTAATGTTTGAAGACCCTATTTGATATGTGTCGGTTTTGGGGTCCTAGCATGTCCTAGCAGATCCACACCACTCCCATAACATCCAGCCATTGCGACCGCAGGGGGGGGAGCATTAAAGGCGCCCGTCCCACTTGACCCACTTGCCCCACCCGCTCCACTTGCCCCAATTGCCCCACTTGACCCACTTGCTTCACTTGACCAACTTGCCCCACCTGCTCCACTTGCCCCTTGACCCACTTGACCCACTTGCCCAAGATCTTAGTGGGGCAAGTGGGTCAAGTTTTGCAAGTGGGGCAAGTGGGGGCAGGGTTTCGTTGGGGCCCTGAAGTGGCTTGTTTGGAGCTTCCGAAGCAGGAGTTGAGGGGGCCGCATTATGGGGAGAGAAGCAGGGCAAGTGGGGCAAGTGGGGCACGGGTTCGTGTTGGGGCCCTCGAGTGGCTTGTTTGGAGCCTCCGAGACATCAGTTGAGGGGGCCACAGTATGGGGAGAGAAGCAGGGCAAGTGGGGCAAGTGGGTCGTGTTGGGGCCCTCAAGTGGCTTGTTGGGAGCCTCCGCAGCAGGAGTTGAGGGGGCCACATGATGAAGAGAGAAGTCGGGCGAGTGGGCCAAGCGGGAAAAGTGGCTGTGGACCCTCAATCTCCCCCCCAAGCCGATATTCCCAGCCAGCAACATGATCCTCAGAGCTAAAGAACACATGTTTTCTAATGTTCTGCACCTGCAATGATTTAGGCGGCGGAGCGGGGGCCCTTATTCAAGAGGTCAGAATGCTACCAGGTAGGCTCACTGTTCGCAATCTCCTTTGGGCTGACATGTAGTTCTCTCATTGCCATCTCTGGTCATAGACTTATATTCCCTTCCTGACCCCTTTTAGCATGAACCCACACCCGGAACGGCCCCGAGCTATGTTATCTATTCGTGGGGACAGCTTCATGAACCTGATCCAGCAGAGGCACAGTAGCTGACAACCTCTTCCACATAGCAGATGTGGACCATGATGCTCGGCGCTTTTATCACATGCGCGCTGGGCTGCAGGCTGCGTGATGATATTGATTCCTGCGACTCCGAAGACTTGTTCCGGGGTAGAAAGAATAACGTGATTTGCAGAGATGCATCACCACAGTAAACAAGGACGGCAGCCTCAATTTTCCTGAGTTTGTGGCTGAAGCTCGGCCGCAAATGGGATGAGCTCATGTCTCGGCCTTGCGAGAGATTGTTCGGGTCTGTGGGTGCTTTGGGTCCAGCGCGATTCTTTGGGCTGAATTTAGATAACATTCGGCACAGTTGACAAGCACTCTTCACATTTTGGTCAGCGTTCACATCGTGATGGCCTGTCTGCCACAAATCGTAAGCATCTCTAGGGAATTGACATAAACTTTTGCACATACAGCAGTGGATCAAGATAGCGGTGTCTGCTGTACCCCTGTTGTAGCATGCCCATTGCGAGGAAGCTCTGGCAAGGGTTTCAGCATGTTGCGGCATCTGTTCATTGTGCGAGGTCACCTTTGACTGGACCACGTTGGACGAGACTGTGCTTCGCCAAACGCTGAAGCGGTTGTTCGACCAAATGGACAAGAATGGCGACCATAAGGCGCTCGCACGAAACAGCTGGTCTGGAAGCAGTTGCATCACGCGGCATTTTGGGGCTGGGATTTGATGCATCACAAGTGCTCTTTCATGTTAGCCTGAGAGAGGCAGCAAATTGTTCACGAGCCCGAGGAGCAAACTTAATTTCAGCTTGCCTTGGGCCAGCGCATTGTGCAAAAAAAGGGTGAGAACACACATGCCGCGACAATCGTTGGAATAAATCATAGCGGTAGAGTGATGGGACTGGTGACAAAAGAAGGACAGCAATGACAGCAGCACGAACCACACCAACCCGCGCACTGCGGATGATAAAGATAAGAACAATAGGAACAGTGACAGCAAGAAGGCAAACAAGCCATGAACATCATGATGCTTGCAGCCTCATGCCGGAACTTTCATTGATGCTGCCTGGTCTAGGTCAGTCGAGTCGCCACTACAAGGACCCCATTCCGTGTACTCTATATCCATTTTATGGTACTGTAAATGAAGCCCTACGGTAAACCCTAAACCGTAATATCCATACATCATTATGGTAATTAGGGCCGAATCCCTTCGTAGCCCCAAGGTCTGTTGGTCTTACCAGTAACAGTTAGAAGGTAATAGGAGATGTTTTAGCCTGTTAAACCCGTTAAGGACAGTGGCTGAAAGGCGGACCGACCGAAAGTTGAGGGTTGAGGGCATCCCCGTGCTATGAGTCCTGAACTACCTGCATGGGACACCCCATGCAGTTGCCCTGAACCCTCCACCACAAGTCGGGAAGTGCAGCAAAACCTCTACACTGCCGACCCTGACCCCAACTTGCTACACTTGGGGTACCTGGCTCGAGGGATGTTGAGGGAGCATGGGGAATCAGAGGAGTTCCTCATCAGGATTGTATAGCGCATGTCTTGCGGCTCTCATTAAGGATTGTTACTCCCTAGCGTGCTGCAGGTCACTTATGATGAGTTGGCTGGCATCTTTCACGGAGCCCTGAGCACCGAGGAAGTCAAAAACGCCTTTGCCAGGCGAGTTGCACCCTGCAGAAAGCACTCATTAATAGCGAATGAGGAGTGGAAAACACATGGAAATGGCCAAATATTGAAAAGGGTTCAGGGTCTAGGGTGATTCGTTGTATAGCCGTAACTTAAACCCTAAAGCGAATGGAGGAATGAATCCTTAGAGATGTCGGTATATGGGATTTCCGAAAAGTAGGAGTTGCCTTTGGTGTCCTTTCAAAAGGAGTATAATATATCGGGGTCTATATGATGGGGACCCCACTTGTTGGATTGGGGTATAGGGTTTAGGGTTTGGGGATCTCGTTCTTTTAATCACTACTTCGAGGGTTCATTGGTTGAAGTTGCGCTGGAGTAATCGGAGAACCAAAGGAGAATCGTGTGGAACAGCATGCATGCAAAATGACACGAAATGACATGGAACGAATGGGCATACCTAAACCCTAAAATCCTAAACCCTAAACCCAAATAGTCGTTTCCGTTTTATTGCTCATCATCCCAAAATAACCTCAACATAACCTGTAGAATTTTCAGGCTTGAGGAGTGGCACGGTTCGCCGGATTTCTACGGCTTTGGGGCTTCACTAAGCTGCTTATCTAGCCTCTAGCCACTGCAGTTTGCATGGTGCTAGTGTGCTTTCAGTCCAAATGCTTCAAAGTCGACTCTCATTGTTCAGGATACTCACAGGGGCTGAACCGCCTCAGCTACAAGGCAAAAAAGCCCAAATCCTTTCCTGTGGTATAGAATCACATGGCGGTTTCCGAAAATTTTAGGGGGTGCCCATTAAAGCTCGTGGTATATTCAGGGTCCCTTTATGTGTGGAATAAACATATTAGAAGCTAGTTGTTGGTCCATAGAGCTCAGTTACCCCCTTCATAGGCCAAATGGCTGGCTGATGTGCTCAAGCACCACAAGTAACTTCTGCCCTCGAAAGCCACTCCAGAAAAGCTGGTATAGGGATCCCTGCACGGACAACCCTTATAAACCCCAAACAAAACACAGGAATTATGTAGGGATTCTAAGGTATATATTAATGGGGTTTATATAGGGATAGTGGAAAGAAAATGGAACCTACTATAATACCTAGTTGAGACCCAAATCGCGAGCTCAAGCCATAAGCCACGCGCCTTCGTCTGATTCAAACGGCTTTACTTCTGGGATGCCTCCAGGGCACCCAACTCTTGGGTTTGGACATATCTGGATGAGATGAAGAGAAAACAGGCCAAATTACGTATGGGCTTGTTGACCTGAACCATTCGCCACTTGAACACAGGAGTCACTGCTCTTAGCCTAAGATGTGCTAAAGTCACGGAGCATATAGATAAGCGCGGCAAAACATTGACACAAAAAAGGCGTTCATGATGCAATCCCTATGTTTGTTTCAAGTTCTCATACAGAGAGCAAACGCAACAGACCAAGCGGCCGATTCCCCCATGAAACCTCCTGCATCTAACTGACTGACATGCATGGGGACAAGTCTTTCCCAAACCCTAAACCCGCGTGTGAACAAGCTCGTGGCAGGATTGATATGCATGGGACAAACTATGTCACGGTTGAAGAGCTGGATACCTTCTTATTCAGCACGCTGTCTGCGGAAGAAGTGGAGCGGCTTTGCGGAAATCTTTGAATGTAGGGTTGGTGCTGGGAAAGGCAGCATAAGGGAGGGACAGACTCTTGAAAAGTCTACATGAGGACCCGATCCGCAAAGAAGCCCTGCTTGATCAAGTAGCAAGGGCCCCCCAATGATAATAATAAGCAACGAAACCAGTGCACTTCCGCAGATTATCTCTGGAGCTTTTTCTGTTCTCCTCTCACGCAAACTGTGTAGAGGGTAGCTCAGGAAGCCTTTTTCCAGCCGTGAGTTCCTAATAAACATCAGTAAGCAGATCAAGTTCAGAACGAGCTTCCAAATCTCATTTTCAGAGAAGCCGAGTAAGCCAGTCTCCCTAAATCTTTCCAATTGAGCTCCTGAATGGAACTAACAACAAGTCAAAGCTATCAACACCATTTGACAATCAATCAACATCTTCTTAGACTGAATTAAAAACAGATTGTAATCGGAAAATCCTTCCGTGTCTGCACAACATTCTCTGGAATATAAAGGTTTGCGGACCAAAAAATGCCTCTGCCTTTCAAGTGCTCTTTGACCACCACAAATGCCCAGAATGGTTTCTCTGAATCTGGGGGTGCTAGAGCTCGGATTCTGGCTTGACAACAATCGCAGTCTACGCAGGACCCAGAATCATGATGCCGGTAGCTTCCCAAACTTAATCTAGCCGGAGATATCTGTGTTGGTACTATGATACGCGTCTCTATCTGCGAATTGGCCCGCATTCTACAACAAAGAGACCACGAAATGGACCCTCCTGTTCACAACCCCGAATAACTTCATGTACCACAAGGGCCCGAATGCTTGTATAGTTACAGCATAGGCTACCTCACCATGATACTCCCTAAACCCCAAACCCTTACTTGGTTTGGCTGCAGCAGATACTCGACTCTGGGGCCAAATCAGGCTCCCTTAGTTACACGGGCCTTTAAGTTTGGCGATATCGGATATCCTTTTTCTAGGGATCCAAATAGCTCAATGTAGGTAATATGTGCAGACTTTAGGGCCCAATGTAGGTTTTATTTGTATACTTGGATCCTTGTTGTTTTGGGGGTGCCTTTTCTGAAGGATCGTAGGGATTTGGGCCAGGAAGACCTGAATTCGGGAAAGCTCTCATATAGACCTGCAGGGGCAGCCCTCTTAGACTGGAGCACTGTACCCTAAACCCTAAATCCCTAAACACTAGAACCCTAGAACCCTAAACCCTAAACCCCCAAAAGCACCGCTCAGGTCTAGGGAACGTGTGTAGCGAAGGTGCAGTTCAAGTTTGCGACGTATTGCAAAGCCTTAAAATCCCTAAACCCCAAGCCGTGCCTGCACTGCTGCGCGATACGCGTGTCTAAACCCCAAACCCGCGCAAGTATTTTAGATTTGAATATAGGGTTCCTTTTATGCCCCCTCTAGGCCCGTTTCCGAGACAAGTCCCTCACATGGGAGGACCCCCATGTACCTGAAAGAAGTTCATACCTCATTTTCTTTGCAGTATTGCGCTTGCTCGCCGTACTTTGCCCATGAAACCCAGACTTTTTGACTTTGGACAAGGAATTTAGTTATACTACAACATTTTAGGTTTTCCAAAAGTATTCTTGAACTAGCTTGATCGGAGGGTGCACTGTGGCAAGGAAATATTGCTCGACGGACTGCCTTTTTCACATGGCGGCCTCGAAAGGCCGTTGGAACCTTGCAGCATTTGGTGGGAGGTGCTTCGAACCAGGGGTGCGGAGTATTTTGCATAGCCAAGAGCAACACGTATTGGCACAACCCTAAGAAGTAATGCCCAGAACCCTGAGAAATACTGAGGTCAGCGTGCTGGTCGGCATTCTTGTTGTTTGCGATGAGGGTGTATTATGACAGTAGGACACCTTACGTCGCCTGCAGGATTTTCTTCTTTTGACTCCAACTGTTTCAGCACCCAATGCACATGATGCTGTGTTCCAAGTTTCCGGCCGTCAGTTCTCTGTGGTTTTCGGGTGACAGGGAGCCCTAGCCCTCAAGACCAAAACCACAGCGCAGCCGCCGCACTGTACTATAGGAACCTATAGTTACCAATTTTATGATTTCAGATTCCTTTATCAATACCTTATAAGGTAATTACCTCAAACCAGCCTCAAAATAGCACACACCCTAAACCTTAAACCCTAAACCCTAACCCCCCCCCCTTCTGGAGTCCATCATGCCCAGGCCAAGAACCCTTTCAAAGCGCAAGGAGAAGGAGTCGGCTAAAGCCATGGTAACCAGCTTGTTGTTGAACAGCATTTTACACTTTTTCTATGCCTAAAATACATATGAGCTACTGTCAATAGTAGGTTTACCTAGGGATCGTGGACATAAGAGTCCCTCTTGTAGTTCAGTATAGTCCCTAATGTAGTCCCTAATAAGGAACCCATGTCCATTTAGTATGTGGGGAAATATTGACAGTAGCTCATATAAATCTGAAATAGTCATGCTGTATTCTTCGTCATCAATATCCAAGGTACCCTGCATGGCTCTCACCCTGGGAGCCTGCATGATTGGGCTGTGCCATGGGCTGTGAATAGCCACCGCACGTGCGTAGAGAAGCCTCCGTGGTTCCTGAGAACATGTCCGGAAATTGTAGGCACCCATTCCGAATGCCTTGTGTTGCTTACTTCAGTTGGCCCACGACGCATTTGTTGGTCCACAGAAATGGGTCCCCGCTCCAGTAGACTTAGCTGGCGACTCATGTTAGCGTGATGCTTTGTTTTCCGGTGCAGTCCACGAGGGCAGTGATCATAGCTGTTGGAACAAACTTCGCAGAAGGCTAGAGTTGAAAATTAAGTGGTGTTGATCTAAATTATCAATTGATCCGTCAAGACGATATACAACTAGTTAAAGTGGCTGCACTATAGCTTGGCTGCAAATGTCAGTTGATTTTGATACATTCTTAGCTCTGTTGGCTGAGGAGACGGAGAGGGGACCCTAGCCAGACACAAACAAGCTTGTTCCGCGGAGCTGGGGGCTGTAGATTGGGGAGTTCGAACCAGGCACCTTATGGGAATTCCTTACCCTAGAGGCCCGAGGGGTCCAAATAGCTCAATGTAGGTAATATGTACAGACTTCTGGGGCCAATGTAGATATTATCTGTATACCTGGATCACTAGGGTTAAAGAATCTAAAAAAAGAGTCCGCACATGAGACCAGCAGAATGCTAGTCCCGAGGAGGGACATGAGTGCTTATAGTCACCCTTAAGTAGATAGAATATGGGGTATATGGAGATCTTTTTATAAAATGCCCAAAGCCATATTCTATCTACTTAAGGGGGAAGCCTCTTGCGGGCCTCCGAAGCTCCTCATGGCTTGCAGAAGTTTGTACGCAACAGCCAGACAGCCAGCTAAGCCGTGCTGTCTGCTCACATCCTCCGTCAGGAATATACCCAGGGCCAGGGGCTCCCGAGTAATTTTTTTTTTGGGGGTAGCTTACCTCTCCAGCGGCTCAGCTGTAACCTTTTTTTGGAAAGGTACAAGACTCCTTGGGAAAGCCCTATATAATGCGCAGCTAAAGTAGCATATGAAACTCCCCTACCAGAAGCGCATACCAAGCCCAGAAAGCAGCTACATGAGAGCCTTTGGTGTAGTCATCCCTTATGGCTCGCATCAGGCGCGAGGATGACGGCAGGTGTTCATTACCCTGTATACCCTTTATACCCTTTATACCCTTTTTTGTGCTTCTAAACCCCTTCTATACCTTGGGCTTCCCATATAAGCCCCCAGAAGCTATGAGGATCCTCCTTAAGGGTCCCTCCTAAAGGCCCTGGACGGGCTTCCCATATAAGCCCCCAGAAGCTATGAGGATCCTCCTTAAGGGTCCCTCCTAAAGGCCCTGGACGCTAAGCCTTAATCGCCAAACCCCAAACCCAAAACCTAAACCCTGAACCCCAACCCATAGGTTGACCGGTAGAAGGTCGGAGATTAGGTGGACCCTCCACATTGTAATAGTGGTATACTAGGCATATAAGAAAACCTTAATATAATCATCATTATCCCTCATAATCAACCCTAAACCCCCTAAATCCCCTTTGTGGGGGCCCCACCTAAGTCGCAGACTTAGTTGCCCTGCAGATGAATGCCTCGGCAACTCATGGAGAAAACAATGGCAGGGTTTATGGTTTAGGGTTTCCCAAAATCGGGAACCATTTTGGAGGTTTAGGGGCTTTAGGGGGTCTCCCTTGAAGGGGTTATCTAGGGGATCTATGAGGTTATAAGTAGATTACAGGGGGGATGTAGGGTTGAGGGCTTAGGGACCTTTGAAGGAGATATAGGGGTTATATAGGGACATCATAGGGATATAGGGTTTAGGGTTTAGGATTCCTCAACTTAGGGGGACCTTTGAAGGGGACATAGGGGTTATGTAGGGATAACATAGGGAAGTATAGCTTTAGGGTTTAGAGTTTCCCAAAAGTAGGGGTATCATTTTGGGAGCCCTAAACCCTATATTGGGGTCCCCCTCTTGGGGCAGACTACCACATCATAGGTTTCTCTTCTTCGCCCCCACCAAGCTAGGTCCCCCTTGGTTCCTTTTCAATTAGCTTTCATTCGCCCTAGTCCTCCTTACGTAGCCCTTTAGGGCCCTTCCAGAAGGGAGAAGCTATGGGGGATAGTATAGGGAGGGGGTAATAGGTGAACCCACGAAAAGAGTTTTGAGGGATAGCTGCAGGAAGCTGACTGCAAAAGCATAAGCTGAGGTGGGGATCCGGGGGGTTTTGTTAAAGGAGGGGTTTTATGGTCTAGGTGTCTTGGGGTTTAGGCTTTAGGGTTTAGGGATTAGCGTTTAGGGATATTACCCGCTGCAATGGAGAATCAAATGGAAAAGGATCATGCAAAATGAGATGGCAACTGAGATTGTATGGTGGTTTGTAGGGATTGTATGGGCTACTCTCGATATTTGGCTTTGCGAGGGACCACTATTGGTGGACGTAGGGGTCTCTTTGGTATTTTCGAATGGGAACCATGTCCATAAATTGTATGGAAAATGTTGATT